TCTTCTGAGTAAATGATTTGAAAAAAAATAATTAAGACATATATAAAATGATAAAAAATAAAATCAAGATGAATAAAAAATAAAATGAAGAGTAAATAATAAGAGGAAATGAAATAAAATAATAAAATGAGGAAACCATTGGACTGAGTGGGGATTTGAGGTGATAATATTGAAATCTTGAGTTCTGAGGATATTGAAAATTTGAAAGTTGAATTCTGAAGAGGGGGCCTGTACCGTTTAGAACACCACAGCGGCACTCGATCTTGTGGCTGAGCAGGGTCCAACAGGGGAAGTTGAGACACGTCGGATTGCTTTTCCGGGGGTGATGACTGCTTTAGGCTTGCACGTGTGACAGTTTTCTTACTCAACAGGTCCACCGGCTTGGTTGGTTTGCTCTTTCAGAGGCGTTTTTGGGGAGGCGGATTGCTGCCATGGGATGTGTGTCTGCCGGGGCTGACTGCTTGAATCTTGATTGCTTCTCCTGCTGGAATTTCACCAGTCTCGTGAAATGCTACCAGAGTGGGAAGCAAGGTTCAGGGTGGTTTTTGTAGGTGAGAGGGAGTATGGGGGAAATTTTACTCACTGCGTTTGGTGGTGGTGAGGGTACGGCCAAGCAATTCAACCAGGTCTTTGACACTGCGAGGGAGCTTGAGGTTGCGGAGTCCTTCGGTAGCATGTTCAGCCGCTTTAATTGATCGTTCAAATTCCTCAGCCGTAATCTGCTGGATTTCATTGTCGAGGAGGGGTTCCGCCGGAACAAGGGGAGGAGGTGGTCCAGGGGCGTTTTTTCTAACAGAGAACTCTTCAAACTTTGGTTCTTGGGACGGGAAGTTTGCTTCAATGTCCTGTTGTGCTGTGGGTGAAGGTCAGTAATGGTATTCAAGGAAAGATGTCTGGATATAGGTGAACATACTGGGAGGAGGAGTGGAGGCCTGTGGCTTTGGTCCTGAAGAGGGATCGGTGGATTGTAGTGCACCGGGTGAGGGAGTGGGCATAGGAGGCTGGTCAATGTTCATGGTGATGATGAGGGTTGAAGTGCAATCAGGTGAGTGGATGAAAATGTTGCAAAATATCAAGTGGACCAGTGGGAATCTGGAATGCAAGACAGGGAAAAGGAGGGAAAGGGAGGTCTTATATATTCCTGGAGAATGGTTTTCTAGAATAACCCCATTGTGTGAAAATTTTCAACCACCCCATTGTCCACCCACAATCCACCTTTGTGATGACATCACCTGATATATTGGCTATGTTTTCCAAAACTCTTGTAAATCTTAGCTCATTGATGAGCCAACAATTGGTCAATCATGAGATAAGCGGATTATGCTATCAGTATTCATGCTTTCAACAGAGTGGACCAATCATCTACCATTGATCAGATGATGTGCTAAGCTAGAATTTACTGATAAGGGGGGTGATCCTGAAAGAAAAACCAGCCAATGGAGTTCCATGCAATGAAATGATTAAGCAGATTTGTGAATATAATCATCAGGATTAGTATGTTGTAGTACGCATGTACTGTGTAAGTATCATAGGGGAACTAGATCAGTAGTCCAGACAAATACTGTCTGAATGTCACCTCAATGTACGTGCGTGTATTTGGGTGACATTGGGACCGAGTTCAGACCAACTAGCAGTAAACTTCTGGCCCCCTACATGTGTCTTGACTCTGGTTATCAAATCCCCCTCTAGTGCAAGTCTGGTGTACATTGTCACCATACTGTACGCGCGTACGTTGAGGTGACATCTCAATCTCAAAAACTTTGGGCCTTATTGGTTCGACAATACAAAATATTTATAAGGACCACATCAACACAAATCCTTTTCAGAATCGATCATTCTAATTCATAACGGTTCGCGGAAGTCTACACATGTGTAAGTATATGACACCCACAGGAAGGGGAAAACTAAATCTAACTAATCAACATTCATGGTCTCTCCGGTGGTTGTGCGTGGACCCTCCTGAGATGCTTCACCCTGCCCACCAGTCAGAGACGTCTCGTCCAATCTTCGCTTATTGTTGTTCTGAGTTGAGCTAAACAGTTGGAGCATTTGTGCCAGTTGTTATGGTTGTTCCAAGACAGTGCTTTTCGAGGTTCTTAGCAATGTCACCTAGACCTATCGTGGACGCTTGAGAGATGGTTTGCTGCTCATAAGGACTCAATTTCGCCCACCACGCATCTTCATAGCAATCGCGAGGCAAACCCCTGGGGACCCCCCTAATCCCGGTAAAAGTCTTGAAGAGTCTTTGAGAGCGACCGTAGACCAACAAGTTGTTTTTGATTGTTTGGTGATGAGTTGCCTGGGCCTGCACCATTTTATCAAAACAGTGCAAGATCGAAGTTAGAGAACCGCTACGCCAATTTGGGCTCAACGTGACGGGCAACGAATCGTTTGGGCCATCTTCAACATCGGAACCGCAGTCCTTGTCTTCGCAGATGTGCGCCAGATTGATATTTCCTCTCAAGACTTTTCCCGCCATTGCGCACCTGTTTTCCCTTATCTTTAACATGTTTCAAAAATGTATTCTGAATCAGTAGCAATAAACAAAATACTCATTGAAGAATTTTCACACCTTCTTTCTCCATCTTTCGTACTGTGCCTTGGTAGTTCGCCCCTTCTTCATTTGATCGTAAGCTTCGCTGCCCATGTTTGTGGCATCTCGAATTTCCCCGCTTTTTGTGTGGACCCATCGTAGTATTATTGCCGATGCTTGGCAAGCCTGTTCGTCAGTGATTGGTGTGGATCGGCGGAGCCATTCGACGGCCCGGCTTCCCAGGACCTCAACAACAGCAGAATTCCACGGCGATTCAGAGATATGACTAACATCCCAGTCAAAAGTGAGCCGTGAGATTCCCGCCAATGCGAGTGATCTCTCAACATCCCCCTTTGTCTGAGCACTGACTGGTTGTCCCTTGTGAGGACCAATTTGAACAACAGGAGTGAACGGAGGCATCTTGATGTTCTTCCTGATTTCTTTTTCAGCCTGAGAGACACAAAATTCTACCTCCGCAGGCGCCTTTCCCTGGAGCTTCTCACGTAATCGACTGAGATTTTGCTTGATTGACTCAGCCCTTCTTTCCACCCAGTAAAGTGCCTTGAGTTCGTCAGGTGTTGGAGCCGATGGATAATCTTGAGGTCGTTTTGGATTGCCCAGAAAGAATTTGATGAAGCTTTGGATACCCCGAGAGTACTTGTCGCAATGTTCGGCCAGGACCCGTTTCCCAGCAATTCCCCTAACTCTCTTCTCAGCTCGTCTGCTTCCCTCGTTCGCTTCCATCTTTTCCCTCTCCCGCCTTGCATTTTCAACCACAAACTTTGGGTCCAGTCGAGATGTTTCGGGGATAGTGCTTGGTTCTGTCTGCGCACCACCTTCTACACCTTCACAAATTCGTCAGAACACAGATTTGAAATAGACTGATTATCCACTAACCTCCCATACCAGTTTCCATATGAGCAGAAGATTCATCGGCCGGAACAAAGCAATCAACAATAGCCGAAATCCAAGCATCTTCCGGATCTACCCCAGACGGAGCAGCATCATCTGAAGTGTCTCCTGGACCACCACCGGGAGCCATGTCACACCAAAAGTATATAATAGATTATTTATACGTGTGAAAATAGGGTTTTTAGAGTTCAGGCAAAGGTTTATAAGACAGACAGACACCGTTGTGCTTTAAAATGTGATAAAATTTGACCGGAGCAGGAGAGACAGATGATTTCGGGTAAAAACCAACAAAGTAAAGCTGAATTGATTGGCAAAGGAAGCCTAAGTTGAGGGATTGATTGCGAGTAACTGAGGGCAAAAGTCTCTGTCCTGGGTCAATAATGACTGTCTATGTGACGAGTAAGATAAAGCATACACCATGCAGACACTGGCAAAAATCACAAGAAACATCTTGCTCGTGGTAGAATCTCAATGGTCCCCCAATCCCTCCCACCCCTAAAAAATTTGAAACTACCAATGTCAGCCAAACAAGTACACACACTGACTTTATATTGTGACTTACAGCAGTTCCTAATCCCACTGCGCTAATTGTTTCCATTGGGAATCCAAAGGTTGAGGCTGGATTTACCAGAATGGCAACGTGACCAATAATCCTTTCACCATCAATCACCTCGGCAACTTCATGATTGGTCTGGACCAAATGACAGTTGAGATCGGGGTAGTCCCTGTATGGATCTTCATCCCTTACTACTTCCTTAAATGGTTTGACTACAAACCAAGTTTTCCCAGGTGTTTGGTGTGATCGGAATATTTGCTCCATGTGCCCAAACCTCTGATCCTTCCCTAGGTAGAACTCGACTGAACCATTCCCCTGGTGCCGATCGGCGGTGGTGAACATCTTCCCACCAACCTTGCAGTATTGAACCATTTCCACTACCGGGCCAAGTTCTGGAACTCCTACACTTGCACCCAGCTTCCCCCTTGTACCATCCTTACCAGCCACTGCCCTTTTCCACTGTTTCATCAAGGGTTGTGTCAACATCTGAGATTTGGACATGTTTTCATCGTCCGGCCTTTCTGGTGACGTGTGATCATGTTTGGAGGTATGGTCTTTGAGAATTGCCTGAAACCTCGAGTTGATGTGCCATTCCTTCATCAGTGTCTTTGGTATCTCATCTGCAAATAACATGACACACAAATTCAGTTATGGCATGAGCATATGAATGGAAGAAACTTCCACTTACTTATGTGGTGATTGGTTGGAAGCTTTTGCAACATCCCATTCACTCTTTCCTGTGCCCAGGCTGCTGTGGATCGAGGCGGACCAAAGCGACGGATATTGTCCGAGTAATGTTGTGTCACGTGAATATTTGGTGTGCTTGCTAGTGCTGGCCAGCCTTTCTGCAAGACTTGTCGGTATTCAAAAATCAGCTGATCCAGCTCATCAAGATCTTTGATTTGAATTTTGGGGAGAGTTAGGAAGTGGGCAATCTTGCACAATAAGGTGGTTGATTCCAAGAGTGAGGATATTCTCTGTTTGCTCTCTTCAGTCGCTGATTCCTTTTGTGATTTAGTCCACAAGGGAATCAATGCAATTGGATAATAAACCTTGTACAATATTAACCATTCAGCTGCCTTCAAAGACCCATGGCTTGCCAAACCCAAGTTACGTGGGACACGATCAATCCATGACGGCACAATGGTGTGCAAAATTGTCCTCCGCACTATGTTCAGTTCTTCGGGCAGGATTTTAGGTTGGCCCATATCTGTAATTGGGGAGTCAGCATCTCGGCGTGTTCGGTGTTGGGCCCTAGTAGCAGTGTGATCACTTCCGCAATCGTCATCGGAGTCAGTGGTGACCTCCTCGTTCAAATCACACGCTACCCTTTTTCGGATTCTTAGCTGATACAAATGTGTGGTTGAAGCATCCGAATTCCCCTCGGATCCGGAGCATGATCTGTTTCCTCTGTCTGTTTGGTCCTCCTCTCCTCCGATGTTTGCTGTTGTATGTCTCCGCTTGCTTGGATTTTCTTCTTCAGCGGCCTCTAATTTCCGCTTTGCCTTGGTCTTGGGGCCAGGTTGATTGTCAAATGGATGCTCAGTGTATGACAAGTCATTCTGCCATTCCGTGTCCTTCTCTTGCATATCCTTGAGTTTGGATCCGGCTGATGGCAAGGACAGGAACCACATTGTGTGATCTTTCAAGTCACCCAAAATCAGTGCATGCATCAATTCAATTGAACAAAATTCAATTGGCTGCCAGTAAGGGAGTTCATTAAGTACACTCCATCTTGCACCGTGTTCTTTGACATACTTCTTCCTTTCAGTCGCATTTTGAAGTTCGAGCCAAGCATCAGCGTGTTTCCGGTGTTCCTCATTTTTCCTTAGGGGAAACTTGGACTTATCGATCTCTTCAAGGTCATGTTTGCTCAACATACAAAAAGAGCAAAATCTAGTTGACGAATGGCTACCAAAACCTGCAGCCTTCCGGAGGGCTGGAAGATCGGCAATAAGGGGGAAGATTGCAGCTCGGATGATCCTACCTTGGGGATGAGATGCGGTTGACTCAAAGAAGATTCCAGTCCAGAGATCCTTCAATTCATTCACCAATGGACGTAATAGGTGGTTGACCTCTTCTAGACTTGGTTCCTTTGGTCCCGGGATAATTCCAAAGAGAAATATGTTCTCCACCTTGTATCGATCTTCCGGAGGAAGGTTCAGGCAGATGAGGATGACTGCTCCAATTGAATTGTGCTTCCCAAGATTTGATGTCCCCTCGGCATTAAACCAATCGAGATACAGACTGAAGACAAGGTTTCCGCTCTTCTCGGTGTAGATCCCACTTCCATCATCCAAGTTGGGAAATTCCTGCCAAACACGTCCATGCCACACATCCTCCATGTCTTGAAGCGGATCCCAACTAGCCGCTGAAAGACTTGAGTCAAGAAGAGATTCAAATGAAGGTCGAGAGAGCTGCGCTTTTAGCCAGGACTTCATAGTTACGTTGTGGAAAGTAAGGCGCGCCCTCGAGGATTTCTAGCACTCCTCCGCTCCGCAACACGTCCTACTCCGGTTTGTTGTCCGGGGTAACTTGCTTGATGGTCTTGTAGGTAGGTAAAATAACTCTCGTTTATTTTTCTGTTGTTGGTAATACTCTAACTCTAATCTACCTCTAACAATTCTTTAGGCTAATACACGATTCACTCCTAAGTCACTCTGTTTTTCTGATATGTTCTGAGTCATAAGTCTTTCTTTTTCCCCCCCCCTCTTCTGCCTCGAACTCCGCTTCCCTCCTAAGTATCCCACACTCCAGTCCCTTCCTTCTTCCCGCGATGTCATCCGCTGTCACCCCCTTGGACTCCGCATGTCACCCCTCCGACGCCCGTCAGTCCAGGTACTCCTCCGGCCGCTCCCAAGCAGGTCTCCCACCGCCGCTTCCGCCTCTGGTCCGCTCCGAACCCCGCTTCCGCCCCTCAGTGCCCCCCGCTCCTTGTAGCCCCTCCGCAGTATACGCTGAACCCCCGTTCCGCAGTCGGCCGTGATCCCCGGCGTCCGCCGATGCCCGGATTCCCCGCAGTAAACTTTTCAGAACCTTGTGCATTCAGCCTACTTTTCTCCGCTTTCCCACGCCTTGGAAAGCTAGACTTTCCACTAATGCACCGCCGCTTTTCCTCAGCCCGCTTGTGTAGCGTCAGCTCCGCGTGCTTTCCGCATCAGCGCCGCGAGCATTCCGCATGCCCCAAACAAACCGGCCAAAGCCTTGGCCAAGGCGCGCTCCCACCACCACAACGTATGAATAAGTGCGAATCGGTTTTGATTTATGTTGTTTGTCCAATTCAAGGAGATCTTGGTCGCATGTGGGCTCAATTGCTTGTGATTTGGCCCACTTGCAGTAACCCTGGTATTGCGATAAGAAACTCTGAGTACACTTGGCCGGAGGGTCTGTGTCACTGTTGCTTAGAGGATACAGTGCAAAGCACTTTTTGCAACATATCTGTGTTGTAATTTCTGGATTGAGGCCCAGACGATGGAAAACGGCATCCCGGGTCTTGGGGATTTGTTGGATCAGATCCGCTGTATGTATGACTCTTCCTTTAGAGCTCCAGAGCTTTCCTAAGAATGAGACATTTTCTCTTGCTGCCTTGAGGAAAGATACCGCCCCCGCCTTGCTCAATTTGTTTTTCAAAACAGATTCAGCCATTTGAATCATGACCTGTTTGGAAAAATCCTCCTCGAAAAGGGGCAGCTTGCTGTTATCTGTTACACATGGATTTGAAGTCGATGCCGTGGGAATTACCTAACCCTGGCTTATATCAGCCATCAAAAATATCATTCTTAAGACACACTTTTTTCTGGATTACAACTCACACTTGGTTCGCCAGATACCACCGAGTTGCTTTCCAAACGCTGGGCCTCTTGCTTCTGCTGGTGCATGGTGACTTGCTTCTGATGCTGCAGGAATACCTTCTTTGACAAAACCCTCCCAGAGAAAACTCCTCCTCCTTCTTCTTCATGTTGGGTGGTATTGCACCCATGAAGTTCACAGTGACAAACATGCATTGGTCGGTTGGGCATTGTGCGTAGGATCAGAGGCGGAGTTTGGCTGGTTGAAAGGTTTTCTTCTTCTAGTACAAAGAAATCCGATCTTCAAACACTGTTATTTCTGAAAGCGTGAGGGATTTAGACACACAAAAACTCGCTGAAGAGACTGGGAAACTGCTACTGGTCTCTTCTGATGTTGGGTTCATATGTAAACATAGAAATATCACCTATCGCCGTTCGGAACAAGGCAACCTGTGGTACAACTTCTTACAATCTGATTACGTGTAATTCATGTCATGATTCATGCAGTGATCAAAATTACATGTGGTTCGGAGCAAACCAAACAAGATGTGTTGATTGGCGTGTCATCCAAACAGCCCTGCATTGCTGAGTACCTCATGACTGACCAGTTCAATATCTTGATGCCCGTACTAACAACCTGAAAGTCGTACGTCAAGTTGAATAATAGATACTGTTCAAAAAATAATTCACATCACGCTCAACCAGAGCAACATTGACCTCACTTCTACCAGGCTTTTCTGTTATTTGGAGTGTGTTCCAACATAAGAGGATCACATTTTCCACTCTCCCATCTTTCCCAACCATCTGCCTCCAAAAGTTTATTCTATCGGCCAGAAAAATTCCATACTAGTTATACATAACCTAAAGATCATGTCTCAAATCCAAGGTCCTTTGGATGTTCGTATTACATTAGCTCCTATCCAAATTATGTGGCTCAAAGACCAACAGTCCATGATTAACGATATATTAAAGAAGTATGAGCCGGCACCTGAAGATCAACCATCCCCCTTATCCCACATAGACGAATACGAACAAGACCGTAGAGCCTGGGATTGGCATGTTCTTATTAGTGGTAGAGTGACTGCGGCCGCGAGAGACATGTCTATTCCCGAATGGGCTATCCCAAATGTGAAGGCTATTTGGGATGCTCGAAGGAACATTTATGGAAAAGGTATGCCTGCTTTGATTTGGGCAAATCAACCATCTTGATTTTTGCTGACTTTGCCTTTAACCAGGACCACTTCTGTTCACTGCCCCGGAGGCCATCCCTGGCCAACAAACCGGCGCTAATTAGAGCAGCACATGGAATACGCTAACTTCTTGGTGGTCGATAGTGAGTTACAGAACTACATGACTTGTTCCACCGATGAATTACTGACCCTGCCCCTTGTTCCGATCAGTTTTTGGATTTGAAAAGCCTCAGAATGTTTTCTTGGATCATGCCTCTCAGCCTTTGAAAAGTGTTCCCTTGTGTGCCGTGAACCTTGTTTCCTTTTGTGATACATCCAAAAGCTATTTGCATCTCCATATTCTCGCATCCATTCACAGTTTGCTACTTGCTCCTTTACACATCTTCCTTGCTCCCAAAGGATCATATAACCATCACACCTTATTCTGCCACTGTCACTCTCAATTTTCATGTTTACCAACTGTCATGCAGCTATATACATACCCCTTTTGTATTTGAGCTATCATAAATTGCTTGTCTGCATAAATTAACGGAGATGAGATACACGTACAAGATATACTTTTAAAGTGAGATGGGCTTTGCACTCAGGGAGGAGGGAGTTGTTTAATAACCCCCCTCCATTCGTCTTACATCTGATTGGATCAGATGTACCGTAGGTGGGGAAATATAGCAAGGGCCCTGTATTCAAGGCCTCGTGGGTCACAGGATGTCACCCGATTGTACGCGCGTACAATCGGGTGACACATATCTTCAGAAATAGCCCGTGCAATTATCTGTTTGTGGTTCAAGGAATCCTTGACACAAATTTTTTTTTTCATTCAGCCCTTTCATTTGCCCAAAGTCACCCAAACGTACGCACGTACATTACCCTCACAACAATTGCACCACCGCCAGTCACTTTACCTAGTCCAACCCCCGGGGAATATTCAATGCCTTTTGTTTACATATATTACCGATCCCTTTCATCTCAAGATTCCCATTGTCCCATCAGGATACCCTGGTCTTTTGTGTATCTCAAGAGTAAGACTATATATATCCCTTTCCTCACTTCATTTCCTCAGCTTGATCCCACATTCCAATGCCTTGAACTCTCAGTGATCGATGTCCTCATCCCAAAGTCACTTTCCAGGTGGAAACCCTCCAGTTGGGGTTGAGAACGTAAATCGCGCATATTCAACAATCCTACCCAATTCCAATTCCTCATTATCTCGTTGTATATCAGCATTTGTCCGAGTCCTGCTGGATATTGAATACAACGCAAAGAAATCCCCTTCCAATACATGGATGAAAACTCCTTCAGCCCACGATTTCCATGTTGGCTCCAACCTGCCTGAATCTATTATCCTGCGGCCTATCAATTGCATCCCACCCGGTTCACTTCTATCTACTAGCGAAAGGATTGCACCGGTCTTTCGAAGTATATTCATCCACGATCTCTCAATCTCTGATTTCCCAGGAGTTACCTTTGCTTGGGATCATCCATGGGATTCGCCATGGAACCAAATCTTTGCAAAGTTTGTGTTGAAACATTGGAGGAATGGCTACACAAGTGGTGCCTTCGCCCCTTTTTTCATGAATCCTGTCGAAGCCGTAAACACCATCCTCCAACTTGGCATTCTCCACCGTTGGTTCCTTGGAAGGCAGAAAGGTGTCCGATTAGGCCAGTTCTCACATGAAATCAAGGCAAAGAAGAGCAAATCCGAAAAGAAATCTAAAATCAGAATACAGGTATGTACCATTTATTGGTGTTTCCCAGCTGAAGGTATATATATATATATTAACACAATCCTTGTCCTCAGATATCACAACACCGTCGAGAAACACTGTTGAAGCTCAACGTAACCGCTGAAACTGCAGCATTATTTGACAACATTAAATCTACCTCCGACACCGAACAGATACCCCCTCGGGATCTCCTCAAAATTCCTCTGCCCTGGAGATCAGAAGAATTCTGCTCATTTGCTCAGAAACTGGACGATATATTTATTGATAAACAATCCAGTAACAAAGGGAGCCGGTTTGTACATGAATTTGTGCTAGAATCTCGCAGGAAAACTCCGACTTCAGCACGTCCAGCCGGGTTCAAAGACGTCCCACGCCATTTACCGTCTAACTGCTATGCGGCCGAATACGTGGCAACCCTTTCTGAATCCCAGCGAAACCTTCTCAATCCCAAGGGTGCGGTAGATCTTTTGGAAATCATGAACATCAGATGATCTCTCATCCCGTGAGTTCTCCACATGTTCAACCTATCAGATCTTTCATCAATAGCTGAGCACACTCGTAATTCTCATTCCCACCTGAAGGTACGCTTAGCCTGTTTTAGAATCAAGTCATTAGTCAGTAACTGTGACTTTAAAATTGTGATTGAAATCACCAACATTGCTAGTTCGCCTTTTCTCCTCTGTACCTGGTAGATGTTCATTTCGAGACTACCTCTTACATAGTACCGATACACATGAACTGGATTAACTTGTCCTAGCCTGTATAGTCGGTCAACAGCCTGAATCTCTGCTGCGGGGTTCCAACCTGGTTCCTGGATGATGTAGTATTATTAGTTTGATTTGAATTGTGTTGAATCAAAATCTTGGAACAGCTTACCATCATGTACACATTCTGAGCGCACCGCAGATCAATTCCGACCCCACCTGCTTGTACTGAAGCCAATAAGACATTACAGGTGTTGTTGGTTCGAAATTCTTCCAAGTTTTCATCCCGTTTCTTTGGAGTGTCGTCCCCCGTGAGCCAGGTTGATTTGATATTGTTCTCTTCAAGCGCCCGTTCAATACTGGATATTTTGGTCAGAATATGAATCTGTCATACTGCCCCATGACAAAAAAGCACTTACATCCCCAGAAAACCTGTAAAGCTAGAAAAAACCACTGCCTTGGTCCTGTTAATTCCTCTAACTCCTTCCAAAAACACCTTCAGATTATTGACTAGATGGACAACTTTTGCCGAATCCTGCCATCGCCATTCTGGTTGGAATTCAATCTCCGATCGCGCAAATAAAGGATGATTACAAAATTGACGAAGCATCGTCAACTGTCTGAAAAACTCAGAAGAATCCCATCTTTCCCCCGCAGTTCGTAGCCTTCCAAAAAGATCGATGAAAGTTGTGTGCAGCATTTGTGAAACCTCCTCCCATTTTGGGCTGATGTTGACAACTATAATCTTCTCGACTTTTTCTGGGAGTTGGAGAAGAACCTCCTTGGTTCTTCTCAAGCAAATGGCTTGCATTAGTCTATTTACAGTCTTGATTGCTTGTTGAGCGCCAACGTTCATTTGAGGAATCAGGCAGCATTTCCACACCCATTCTTCATTCCAAGGATGGATATTCAAGAGCGTTATCAAGCTTTGCAAGTCGGTCAATCGGTTTTGGACTGGTGTTCCTGTTAAGCAAAGCACGAACTGCTTGTGAAGGTTCTGAATGCTCTGTGTCCGATTTGTTATTGGATTCCTTATTAAACTAAAATCCTCAATGTCAGTCGGCAGTATTTGGAATGCTTCCATGTGTGATTTCACTCACTGTGCCTCGTCCAAGACAACTCTGAACCAAAAAAGGTCGAGAGATTCAATTGTGAGTTGGTGGTGATGTCTCTTGTTCCCACTTGTTGTAATCATTTCGTACGTCGTCAAGATCATCATGCTAGACTGCAGGTCTTCTTTAGTCATTTTCTTTCGATCATCCCCATGGAACACCTTGTAAGTAATTGCATGATTGTTGAAATGAAGGCTGATTTCGTTTTGCCAGTTGGATAGCGTTGCCAGAGGGCAGATTACTAAGGTAGCCGAAGATCGGTTTTCGGGATCGGCCTTTCGAAAGCGTCTTCCTTCTTCACATGTAGCCAATATAAAAGCTAGTGTTGTTAACGTCTTCCCTAATCCCATATCATCAGCAAGTATTGAACCTTGCGACCTGTCATCTTCGGGGGGTTCTGTCTCGCTGGACACAGACTCTTCGTCAAAGTAGTGACGAAGCCAGGCGTTGTCGTCGTGGTACCACAAGTCCTTTGTATTGTTGTTGGGATGCTCGTTCCTCAGTAGAAAGCTGAGGGCAGATAGTTGATGGGATTTCAGATTTGTTCGGCATTGTCGAAGTGATGCAGAAAGTGTTGGGGGTGGTCCGGCAAACGGACTGTTGGGGGAGATTCGAGAGGTGAAGTGCGGAATTTTGAAGAAAACATCTGGGTTGTAGTTCCAAATTGGAGTGAGCTCGACCTCCGAAGCTGCAAAAGCTGACTGTACTTCAGGTATCTTTTCGGATCGGCTGAACACACAGCCCCGTAGCTGAGGTGTTATGCAATTCTTTGTTACAAGAAATGCACGCAATTTGACTAGAGCCACTTCATTGGGGGGGATTTCCGAACAAGTAACTGGAGTTGAACAGCTTGAGACGGGCCCTAAAAGTGGACCCAAGTATTGGCTCTGTTTTTCACTCAGATCACCAAATCGGGTGCGTGTTTCACAATATATGTGGACTAGTTTGTGCCCTCGTTGTAGGAACACAAGCTGAGGTAAATCATAAGTGAGGTTTACAGGACTGGGGAGGCTTACTGGGATGATAAATTGACCGAGACAAAAGGTTGAAGACATGCCTGAAGAGTGATTGAGATGGTATTCTGAGGTGGGGAGAATGACGGGTCATGTGTCCAGGTTCCAGCAAGGCAGGAACAGGAATATGATTGATATTTTCATATCAACCAATCCATCCTTCTACTTGTTTGGCTATTTTATTTGGGCCCCTAATTTTTCCATAATGTTTGAGGCTGTATGGCTGATCTGTGATGGCACAGCTGGATATGCAAGAGATATAGTTCCAAGTTTAAAGGGTTCACTATCGTTACCCCTAAGACTCCATCACCCCTCATTCAGCGGGCATATTGGTGGACACTCACACACAAGCATATTCTTTCTTGGAGCTTGTACATAGGCAATGTTTACAATCTACATATGGGCATGTCCCACACCAGGTTGTGATCGATCTGACATCCAGAAATTCAGAACCTTAAATTGAGGGTAAAAAGAGGGGTATTTCACATAAACAAAACTGCCAGCTACCCTAGCTTTTATTCCCATTGGGGATAAACAGGTTTGTAATTCTGTCCCAATATAAGCAGTTCCTTTACAGGTGTTATACTGGTAACTGTGTCGAAAATGAGCCATCCTCAATGTAAAAACATGCTTTCAATGTTTACAGAAGCTGTAAGGAGCAATATCAAAATTTGTATAAGATTAAGACGGACTTGAACAAGACTTCAGCATGAATTTAACTAGCATAAGTAATAGTTAACTCTAAATAGTTACGTATCATTTCACAAACATCTTTTTCTACAGTTCTTGTTCAATAATGAAATAGTTCAGCAAAACATTGTGATAACATCCAATGCACTTCAGACAAAAACAATTGCAGAATTCAGATATGGCACTCCCTGGGGAGTGCCCCCAAAGCTCCCCTGGTGGGTGGTCTTGTTTTCTGATAACATAGAAAGGCAGAGTTTGCAGCTCATTTCATCCCTTTCTCCATTCAGCAAAAAGGATCTTACAATCACTTTTTGAGTCTTACAAGGGAGTCCCCAACGTGATACGGATTACGGTATAATTGAAGAAGGATCAAATTCTAGAAGAACAGCAAGAAGAAGAATCAACACGGATAGTCGACACTCTTGAAGGATTTTGCGAAGAACAAATTTGTCAACCACAACTGTCATCAAGTAAAGAAGAAACATCAAGTTAACCTGAAGATCGAATAGTCAAGTGATAGAACCTATTAACGAACGAAAACTACTAAAACTCTGAAAGAAGAAGAAGAAGATTTGTGACTCTAGTTCTGACAGACGTATCTCGAAGGAAGCAGCCAGTTATATCCCAGAAGAAGGAAGACCACCGAAGGATTTGGATAACTGGATCCTGTTTGAAGCGAACGTCGGAGCCCACTCGAAGGAAGCAGACAATTATATCCCAGAAGAAGGAAGACCACCAAAGAATCTGGATAATCGTATCCTGCTAGAAGAACACTCCCAGCTACTAGTATTGTTACTGAGAAAACCCCCAACTTGCCCTGGTAAAGAGACCAGAGACCATTTTTGAATTGAAAAACAGAGTTTAGTAGGATTAGTATCCAAACATAGTATTACATCACAACAACTAAGAAGTCAACAGAAACAACATGAGTTTACCATATACTGTGCCAGATTTGGAAGATGGATTTGCTCCAACAACACCTTTGGGAAATAGACCATTTGCGTCGGGATCGAATTTGAACTGGAATACAGGATTTACGGCACCACCACCACCAATGAAGAAGGATAAGGGAAAGATGCCAGCCAATCAATACAGAGAACCACAGGCTGAAGAAGAGATGTCAGACTCAGAAGATCCTACACCACAGAGACAAGCCAAGCAAACGGAACCTCCGGTGACTGGGTATGGATTACATAATGCAAGAGGATCAGATGGTGAACCGGCGGAGAGAAGATATGGACCAAGGATCATCAAGGAACCGGGACTTGTTTACGATGGGACCAATTTCACACGATTTCTAGCGAGATACGAACGAGCGGCTTTGGCGTTTCAGGCATCGGACTACGAAAAGGCGTTACAGATTGGACGATTTGTACATAAGGAGGAATTGAAGTTGGAACTCGAGGCGATGGAAGGTTACGATAGCTTCAACTGGACGGAGTTAAGGAAGGCAATGAAGGAGAGTTGGGGGGAATTGGACAACACTATTCTGTATACTACGGCGGATTTGGTCAAAATTGTGGAAGAATACTCCAGAAAGGGAGGGCTGAAGGACTACAAAGAGTACAAGGCTTACTTGGGAAAATTCACCACTATCTTGAAATATCTCGTGGATAATGAACATTTGAACAAGAAGCAGGACGCATCACTTCTTTTCATAAGCACATTTTCTAAAGAAAGTCAGAAGAACATCAAGAGGACTTTAGTCAGTAACGGACAACTCCCAAAAGGACCAGACGGCAGTAGTAAACCTCCACTGTGGAAACATGTTACAGAAGCAGCGGATACAGAAATTAGGGTTGAAGAGGAAGGATACTTTGAGGTTTCAGGCTTCTCCGAGGCGAACAGGCGAATGCAACGGGAACTGGATCAGAAGAAAGGTGATGGTCAGCGACGAGAACAGATGATATCCGGAGCTCCAACTGGAAAGGTGGTCGAGAAACAAGTAGAAGACATGATTCAGGAGATTGCTTCACTAAAACAACAGTTGAAGAGTGTATTACCTGTTTACAACCAACAAGGATCAGAAAAATCAGAATTCTCACGTGGAAACGCCAGGCCCTCTGCACCAATTTACGAGAGTATGATGTGTTATTATTGCCACAGAGAAGGGCATTCAACCTATAGATGTTCAGAATTATTTAAGGATGAAGAACAAGGACTAGTGAAGCGGAACGGGAAATATTGGTATCTACCGGATGGGCAACATATTCCATGGAACCCCTCAAGACCAATTCGAACCGTAGTTGCAACAGCTTCAGCAGACCCAAAGATGCAAGAACTCTCAAGGAATGCAACCAAGACAGAACCAAATCAGACTGCAGGGATCATGAAGTCTTCAGCTCAAACCATTGATTGGGATCCACCAACTTTAGGAGCGGAAAATTTTCTAGGAACTCACGCAATAACTAGGTCGGATGCGCAGAAAGGAAGACAAAGCGTCCGGATTCAGGAACCAACAGACAATGAACAGATGGATGTGGATCAAGAGGAAGAAGTGGCCGAGATCTTGCAGAACCCCCCGAAAAAGCCAGTCGAGAAGGTTTGGAGTAAAGATAGAATCTCAGCGATGAAATCCAAGGATGCGAGCCCAGAGGAAATTTTGCTTCAGGAACTAGACAATGTCAAGATTCCGACCACTTTTGCTCAACTCACGGCTATATCTCCAGCATACACATCCCAAATCATTTCAAAACTACAGAACAGACTTCCAGAAAAAAGTAAAACAACCTACGTAGCTACAGAATCAGCCAAGGTTTCTGCAATGGAACTCAATTCAGATCAAGAAGATACAGACCCTTGCTATTACAGTTGCGCTCTTGGTTACGTCACAGCAGAAATTGGAGGTTCAAAAGTGGATTTTATGATTGATTCGGGCTCAATGGTCAATGTTATACCCAGCTCAGTTGCCCAAGATTTAGAACTGGAAGTGGTCAAAGTAGATATACCTATGAAAGGAGTCGGAGGAGCCAGATGTGATTTGAGCGGAGTAGCAGAAAACTGTCCAGTAACAATTGGAAGATTCTCCGGACCGGCTCATATATTTGTCTCTCCAAAAGCACAGGACTGTATCCTTGGACGACCATTTCTTTTTGATTACAAATGTAATTTGGAATATCATGAAAGGGGTGAAACTTTAATTTTTCAAGGAGCAAATGGAAGAAAAGTATCAGTACCACTTGCAAAAACAGGAAAAGGTAGAGGTTGGAATAACATGAAAGATCTCAGCACTAACAGTATGAAGCCTTTTTTACAGGAGCAAAAATCCGGAAAAATTTCAAAAACAGAATCAGCCCAGCCTTTTTTCTGATTCCCGGTGTTCACTTAAGGAATTACTCACTAAAGCTAGTCAAGCGAGTTGCATTCCGAACGCCGGGTCTTCTAGACTGGCTTAAAAATATTTTCTTTGATTTTTTTCAGAAGCTTACAAAGAAGACAAAAATTGTTTTCATGAAGGTAATGTTGTGTAGAAAGAATTTTTTAATCAGTTTTATTTCACTTTTAAAAATTTTCAAAAGAGGTACAGCTAAATTCAAAGCATCAAGAAAAACAGGGCAAGACTTACCAAAACATTCACACAATTTACCTGAACCAGATGTCAACAAACAAGAAGTAGATTTTGCTGCACCAGAAAAGGAAGTGGAAGATGCTGAAAAAACTACAGAAACTGATGATGAAGAAAATTGGGATAACTTTTTTCAACAGGAAGAAACAGATCAGTCCAACTCCACAAAGTCCAGCAATAATAGTTCAAACACTCAAGAATGTCACCTTAGTAAAGTTTCTCCAGAAAATTCCAAATTTCCTTTAAAGCCAAAAGACAAAGAGGTTCAAGAGATCAACAAGCTTAAGAACAAGATTTTCAACAAACACCTGTTTAAACCTCATTCAAATCTTCACAGAAAAATTCAAAACTGTTACTGCACTCCTTTTGAAAAGTCAGATCTCAAGAATTTTGGCTATGTGGAAAAGGAAGGAGAGGGATGGGATAATTCTTCTATTTTTGATTCAAGTTCTATCACATATTTTCAGCCAATCAGCTCAATTATCTTGACCCAAGCTCTTCCAGATCAAAATTTCCCTACTTCAGAAGATCAATTTCATATTTTACCAGAATCAGTTCCACCAGATATAGATAGAAACAGGTACATCTGGGAACATAACAGATAGAATATAACTAACATCAATCATATATAAAAAGAAAAAAAAAAAAAAAAATCAAGCATAAATCATAAAAATACCAAAAACATATCAGTTTCATACTCATTTTTGAAAAGTTGGGGGAGGAGATTCATCTCTGATGAACTCAATCTTGAATCAAGTTTTTCTATTTTTTTCTTCTTTTAGGAATGGTTGAGGACAACCATTTAAGTTGGGGGAGGGGGTTTCTTTATCTTTCTTTATTTTCTCATAAAAAAAAAAAATAATAATAATAATAATAAATTTACCCTCCATGTTTTATAGCACTTTTTTCAGTTCTCTGATCTTAGAATACAACATCATTGAGGGGAGAAGCGAAATCACTTGGAAAGAATCGGGCCGACAGCGATGACAAGCAAGACAATAGATAAAACAATCAGAAGCAAAAATCCAACAAAGTGACAGTCAAAACTATCGATCCATCCAGTCTTTTGGAAATGGAAACATCAGGATCGGTATTCAAATAGCTATACCGATTAAAATCAAACTACATGGTCAAGCAAACAGGAAAAATCAGATCGGAACTAGCGCGTGTTGGTTAAGGTAATCGATCTAGTGTGGAAGACAGATAGAACAACCTGCATGAGTATCTGGCAAGCAAGACCGATTCAGATTGATACTACAGTTTGAACGAGCAAGAAACCTCACCTCAGCATTATTAAACAACAAAGAAAGCGATTAAAGGTCTTTTTAAGTCTAACGGAGAGGAGGAACAATCGATCGATGGGGAAAGGAGCGATAGAGAGAGAACAACGATCAAGCGATAGAGGAAGGGATGATCATAGAATCATAGAGATAGATATAGGAGAAGACGAGATCGATTGAAGGGAACGATTGAAGGATTGAAGGATAGGATAGGGAAAGGTAGAGGATTACCGACCGAGTGAATAGAGGGGGGATGGAGATGTTGTGAAGGAAGGAATGAAGCAAATGGAGGAAGCCTTTATATACTGAAGGATGTCGAGGGACGAAGTCGCGGGGGAGTCTTTTTTTTTCAGGGGGACCCCATTGACCCCCTCATGGCAAAGAAAAAGAAAATTGCATAAGAACAATTTGATCGATTTGAATTCCTTTGGTGGCCGATCAACAAGGGAGCAGTACTAGATTCAATCAGTAAAGCAAGAATTCGGAGCTAGAAGGACAGAAAACTACTTACTCATAATTGATCAAGCTAATAAGCTGTGTGCAGTCCCAACCAAGCTACCGGATTAGGAAGGGAAATCGATGAACAAAGAAAACGAAATGATTAGAGGACACGCTAGGATGATTCTGAAGACTAGACTTAGTGAATAGGACAAGCTAGTACACAAACCTACTTAAGCAACCGACCAAACTCGGATCGTCAAGGGTTCCTTAGGATAAGGAAGGAGGAGGATCAAGCTTTACCACACTCTTTAGGAGGAACAGATACTAGCGGGTCAATCGAGGAGCGGGTTGTGGCAAATACGCGGGCCTATGGTTTTTTTAGACTACACACTACCGGGGCGGCTGACAAACAGCTAGGATAGGAAGAAAACGATCGGTGATGAGACTCTTGGATTGACAAAGGTTCAATCAACTTACTAGCGGATTTAGTGGATCAAAGGAGCGAGCAACGGCGGGTTCCTCGCGTCAAGCCGGATACCTGAGACTAAGACACTAGAGAAATGCGGACAAAGCTATGAATGCGACTGAAAGACAAGGCAGAAAAGTGAGGGGGAACTTACTTAGGACGAAGATCCGATTCGTGACTAGTCGACAATCGTCAAATTAGAAGAAAATTGAAACTTCCAGCGCGGGTCAATAGCAGATTTCCTAGGAGGTAGATCATAGGCTCATAGCCGTCGGCATAGTTGAAGTGGAAAACGGCGCGGCCAGTTCAAGGAATAATCTGCAAAGACGAAACCAATATCGTTAGCGCGGGTAAACAAACAGAACAATGGCAGATAAAACTAACAAATTTCGAGGATTCCATTGTCGAGAAGACCGGTCGAGAGGCCGATAGCCGGGTGGATTTTCGAGAGGCCGATAGCCGGAAGGATTTTCGAGAGGAAGATCGTCGAGGAGGGAGATAGTCGAGATAGTCAGGAAGATAGGGGACGAGTTGAGGATATCCGCTACCGGGCCGGTGCAGATAGGCTGGGATATAATTGAAAGAGGTGATAGGCCTGTGACAGGACTCCGAGACAGAGAAGGACTAGAAAAATGGATTGGGAGCGGGTGGCGCGGCTCTCAGGACTACTGCGCGCGCAGCAACCCGAATCCGAGGATGTGAAAGGTTCTGTGAACGGTGCAAGGATTTCCACACCCAGACAACCTCATAAACTCCAAATTTGGAGTCAACCAACCGGACCTCAGTTCAAGTCCCCAACTAGGCAAAAACCCAACACCCCACACAATTCAACACCAAGGACATGGGTTCCACTCCCACTCTTGAACAAATTTTATATACTACAGACCGGGGTTCAATTCTTACCCAAGGAGTAAAATTTTGAGAAATAAGAAGGCTCCTCTGTTCAATTCCCAGTCTCAACCAAACACAACCAGGGAATTTTGGATAATTAAATAAACATAAAAATTATCAAAGGTTATTATTATCCTTACACAATCTAAATTTAAATTCTACCATACAAGATACATAAGTTTTAGCCTTCAAACACAGTCATAAAATCAGAATTGACTGGGGACAGTCAATAAGTTGGGGGAGGATGTGGTCATTATTCCTGTGTATGAAGCAAGAAAATTTCAAAATTTTATTATTTATCAATGAAGGACTCAAGATACGGACAAATGGACGTCAGAAATGGAATCTACGGCCAATTCAACCCCTAGTCACTCACTGGAACCACCTTCATATCTCTACTGGATCAGAAGTTACGCAGAATCAAGGATGTCACACGGAGAATCACAGGATCAGAGGCACTCAGCTGGAGGGTATATTGCATGGGGGTATATTGCATATTGCATATTGAATTCCTTTTATCCATATTGAATTCCTTTTATACTTACAGAACCACAAGTTGGCCACCAGTTGTACCAGTTAAATTCCCATTTATTCAGCCACAGAACACATGAATTCCTTTCTTACAGCTTACATATAAAAGGACTGCGTTGTAGATAGTCTAGCCAAAATCCCTCAGGATTTTCAAGGATAGGGCAGCTAAAATGCCTCATACAGGGGGTCCCTTGGGGCTAAAATCCCTCATATTTTACTATATAAGGAGGCCTCTGCCTGCCAGTTGTTTCCCTCCTCATCCCACTCAGTACACATTTTTGGTGGGACACCTGTCACAGATATTTATTACACAAGAGGTTCACAAGTAGTACAGTTCACAGTTGAAATATATACACAGTTTCACAAACATTACACAGAAGAACCAGTCCTTTGTTCCAGTCCTGGTTGAAGCATAGTGCTCCCAGTCCCTTTGGGTTCAAGAACCACCTCTATTACATATACAGCATTAAGGAAGAACACAAGTATCAAGACATCAAGACGAGAAACAACATCACCAACTCAATCAATTCTTTGGACAACAATATCAACCTTCAACAATTATACAACCATCTTTGAACATAATCCATTATCACCAACCAAACTGCCAAGCTTACCTTGGTGGTCTTGTTTTCTGATAACATAGAAAGGCAGAGTTTGCAGCTCATTTCATCCCTTTCTCCATTCAGCAAAAAGGATCTTACAATCACTTTTTGAGTCTTACAACGTCAGTCGATACCTTGGAATCGAGTGGAAGATCCATACCTTAAAGCGGCGTTTAATTACTGTGAACCAGCTGCAATACTCTTCAAACGAAAATGGGCGGCAACAGGGGCCAGAAAGGCGTATTTGGAATTGCAAGAGGCAATGCTTTATTGCTTAAAAGTAAGTAGTCTATTCCTAATAATCATTCAGAAGGATTTACTTACATTTTTCATCTTATTTACCCTCAGGCAGCCAATAGCAAATTTTGTTTAATACATGACGTATGGACAACCAAAGGAAATCGCTATGGATTCATTGGTGTATCAGTATCTTTTATCAATAACGATTGGAATTACGTGGTGCTTCATCTGAGCATCAAGTTGGTTTCCTGGTTACATCAAGGGAGATATTTAGCCGAACCAATTATAAACATATTGAAGAAGCATCAACTCATCAATAAGATAAGTAATCTCAACTTGTGATCCATTTTCATAATCAAAGGGAAAAACTAATTTGTCTTCTTCTCATATATACATGCTTTGTCAGACCACCGATTCTGGATCAAATAACATGACCATGGCTGAAACAATGCACGAAAAACTGCTTGATCTGGGAGAAAACACCGATTTCGAATGGGACCCTAAGACAATGCACATTAAGTGTTTTTGTCATAAAATGGCTCTTGTTGTGAACGCTGGTTTGAAGGAATTGGGTCTCGAATCACCGCCACCACCGAAATTGAAGAAAGCATTCTTAGGTTCTTTCCCCTACTCCAATAAGATGCCAAAGATAACCGAGGAGGACGAAGATGGTAACGAAGGTGACGATGAAGATGATGATTCAAACAATGGTAGAAGTGATTGTACCGAGGATGAAAAGGAGAACTCAGATGACGACGACAATGACGATGATGAGGACGATGATGATGACAATGACGATAGCACTGAGGACAAAGGAGAAAACGGGAAAAAGGACGGGAAGAAGAATGGAAAAAAGGACGGGAAGAAGGATGGAAAAAAGGATGGGGAGAAGGATGGAAAAAAGGACGGGAAGAAGGATGGAAATAAATCTTCCTCAAAGGCCAATAGGAATGATTCTAATGACTTGAATGAGTTGACTACCGCTGTGAGTCTTTTTATCTCTTGTATTTTTTTACATACTGACCAATCAAATTACATTCATAGTTGGACTTTGTGGTAAAAAAAATCACCGGCTCTTGCGTCTGGAGACAAGAATTCGAGCGAAGAGCAGCCGGAAAAGGTTTGAAGAACTTGATTGCTGGTTATGGAATTCGTTGGAATATAAAATATGAAAGTCGAACTCGTGCCTATGATGCCAGAGATGTATGTTATTTATTTTTTTCTACCAGATACATTTACTAATATTCTCAAATGTAGGTCATCGATTCAATACTACTTGCTGAGTATGAAAAATATCAAGATCAAAGAGCCAAATCTAGCCGCAAGGAAAATCCCAAGAAGCTCGGTCACTTCAAGGAGATTCAGTTCACAAGGAAGGAATGGGCGACAATTAATGAATTGAATAAAGAGTTAGAAGTAAGTAATTTGTGTAATATTAATATATTCAAATCCTAGTTACAATGCTGAATTTTATATTTCAGCCTTTTAACCTCCTGACTAAACTTATGGAGGGTGATGGTCCTACAGGTGCTTTTGTCTTGCCAAACTATTATTCTACAATCTCAACTTTGAAGAAGAAAGAGGACAAATGCAGCCGAGGACACGCAATGCATCCAATGTATGTTAAAATGATCAAGAAACTCGAGATCTACCAAGACGAGGCGCTCAAGTGTGAAACTCTTATTATGGCTACCTTGCTCCACCCGTCATTCCGATTAGGGCTATTCACCCATTGCTGGCCTGAAAAAGTGGATGTGGCCAAGAAACTTCTGGAGAAAGAATTTGTGAAGCGTGTGGAGGTTCTGAAGAAGAAGAAGGAAGACGATATTCAAATAGTCGAAAAGAAAACTCCTCCGGTTGAAGAAGATGACATTTTTGAAATGTTCAGCAAGCCTGCAAAATCAACAGAAGAAAACAAAGAGCTCGAGGTATATATCAACAACATGGATCGCCTCCCAGCCATCTCTCCGAAGTGTCCCAAAGCGCTTTTGTTATGGTGGAAGGTATGAATTTCTCTTTGTTTTTCACCTGCATTAAGTTATTAATCTCATTATGATTTTCTTTTTTATTTTTATTTTTCAGGATCATGCATCCACCTATCCGGTTCTTGCATCGTTAGCCAAGGACTACTTGGCATCTTCTGCATCCTCATGTGCAGTTGAGCGTACTTTTTCCTCAGCTGCTGATGTTTGTTCAACTGGACGTGGATCATTAAAACCACGAACAATTGAAAGGTGTGTTAGTAGTCATATGTGGTTGAAAGAAGGTATTCAAGTTTCTGGTGATTATGCAAAAGCACAAACAGTTGTTAGATCTTACATGGATTTTTCCGAAAAGAAACAGTAGAATATTTTCCATCTGTGTTTTTTTATGCCTTTTACTATCTCTTTTTATCACTAATGCTTGATCATGCTTAGCCAGAAAAAAAATTCTTCCAGTTAGTTTTTCTTTTTATTATTTATTCCTAAACATACCTAACCAAAAAATAAACCAAAAAAAAAATTCTTGATTTTTAGTTGATGATTTGTCCTGCTCCAGAATAAATGCTTGGTTTTTTTCTTGCTTTTTTCCCAAGTAATTACCTGAAAATCATTTTTTGATGACCATTTCCCATCACATCTGAGCCCCCTACACATTATTATGACTCAGTTTTCAGTTACGCTAACAGTTAGTGTAACTTTTTGATCAGTTACGCTAACAGTTAGTGTAACTTTTTGATCAGTTACGCTAACAGTTAGTGTAACTGAGGGGATCACTACGCTAACAGTTAGTGTAGCTTATCAAAAAGTTACACTAACAGTTAGTGTAACTTTTTAGCCCACTAACCACGCTACAATTCCACGAACAAGGGATTTGGTTAGTGTTAGTTTGGATTTTTTTCAGTCAGCTAACGCTACGCTAAAGTTTTTTTTGATTTTTTTAGAAATCCTGTAGTGTTAGTGGCCCAAAATTTTCGCTAACAGTAACTTTTTTGTAGCGTAGCTTAAAAAGCTAACACTACGCTACACTAACACTACGGTTAGCATAACTGGCCCACCGTTGGTGATGGCCATCACCCACAGAAGCTTGATTTCCCCCTTCAAACAAAATGATTTCTTGGAGAATGTGACAGGTCTGATTTTTTTAATCCCAGAAGTATCAAACCCTGGCCACTAACCCTATAGCCTTGGTCAACTACACATCCCCTTTGATTTTCAGATCCTTAAAGACATCTTGTCAGGTTTTTACTACTTATGGTTTGGTAAGAAAATCCTGGGCCTCAAAGTGCAGCATGCCTAAAGTTCACACAGGAATAGCAGACCAAAGACCCCTCAGGAATTCACCATCCAAAATGTGAGCAAAAAACTGCAACTAACTCATAAAGCCACATAGTGCACAATGCAAAACTAAAACCACAAGTTAATAAGAGTACCAAAATCTTCTATGCATTCCCCGGGGATATAAAAATATCATTGGGTGTTTCAAAAAAGTCAACTGGAACACCAACACTGTTATAGCCCTGACCAGATATTTGAAAACTATATATTGAATCTTATTCTTACAAAAAGCTTCCACATAACACAACAAAGCCGTATTCTTTCAAGATAACTCTCAGCTAGAAAGATTTCTATGGCTTCAGTGAGCAACCCCACCTAAAAATCTCAAAATATGGATTATGAGATAATACCCAAAGTGTTCTTAATTCTTAACAATAATAGATTTATCCAATACATTCAGTTGACGTTTATTGTCAGGAGTCATTTGGATAATCAAGACTGGAGTATCTCTATGGATGACAGATTGTATACCAGAAAGAACTTAATGCATGCTTACCAGACAAAAGTTGAAATTAAGGTTGCATTTTTCAGTGTTGTGAGTGTATTAGGGGGTAAGTGACTGCTTTCTGATGGTGGATTTCACATATTTAATACCCCTTAATATGTGTGAAATCCACTCAAATTCCATCAAACTTTGTGGGGATTTCACACATTACAGTGCTACACTGAGCTAAACAAATGGCCTAGGCCCTAAGCAATATTGGTTTCAGCTCTTGTTTGGATCTAGTTATAATGACCAGTTGACTAAAATGACCCCTTCACATTTTTAAGGAGATTTTCTCAAAGTGGGTTCTTACTGGGCAGGTGAATGTCATCAGCCTGATGTCTCCTGTCACCTGGCAAAACCAGTTTTAAGATATATTCTTATGTAGAGTTACACTTCAATCAAAACTCTCAACTCAATCTTGTATCTAGCTTGTCCCAGGATTGGTCTCTAGCTTTCTCCCCAGTGAATCAAAGCCATCTTTTTCATTCTCACTCCTAAAGTGTCACATGAAGTTCCATCTGTGAATTTCAGTCATCATCACTCCCCTTTTTGTCTCAACAACCATTTTTTCTATGGTGGATTTCTCCAAGAAATCAGGTGACAGTAGTACAAGTTGGGTTCTGGGAGTTCTGGAAGTAATTGTTGCAAAAATTGGATGTTTCTTGATGGATAGGAATCATGAAGAGATATGCCTCTGTTGAATAATTGGGGAATTTTTTGTCATGATAGAATAGTTTAGGCCCCGTTTGGCAGTGTCATAAATTGAAGTGTAATATTGCCTTAGTAATTAAATAAAAAAATAAACCCCTCAGAAATATATAACAAAATTTTTACTGAGGCAAGGTCAACTACTGATTTTGAGTTTAGTATGAAGAAAGTTGAGATAATGGGTAAACTTCAGCACCATAAAACCAATATTACACTTTTTACCCATATAAAGTGTAATATTGATATTATGGGGCTCAAGATGGCCTAAGATGTCAAATTTGTTCTCAGCATCAATGAATCCAGCAGTTGAACTTGCCTAAGTAAAAATTTTGTTACATATTTCCCATTAGTTTATTTTTTATCAAATTAATCAGGCAATATTACACCTAAATTTATCAGGCTGCCAAACGGGGCCTTATGTTTAGTAAAGATCCAGGGCTAAAGTATATGTATTTTAGCAATATATGTGAATCATCTTATTTTGGTTGAAATTAAGATCAAAGGAGCAGAAACAATGACCTTTGTCTCATGGTTCAGTGCAAGGATGGATTGTGTATGAACAAAGTCATCCTACGATTTTGCAGGTAGAGACATGAGTTCAAGGCCTGAAGGTGGTACCTGGCAGTTGCTATTCAAGGCAAAGTGTGGGAGAAAATTATCCTACTTCATCTCAGACTCAAGTGACTGTGGAGTTATTGCCATCTGAATTTTGATCAAACAAAGGTGTTGGAATTGTGAGCAAGGTTTCTTTTTTTTAAAAAAAAAAAAAACAAGAAAAAATGTTCACCGTGATATCCTGGTGCTCCTGTTGGGATATCTCAGAGGGGGGGGGGGGGGGGTATCAGCAGATGTTGAACTGAGGCCGACTTTTGCCATGAATGTGGGGTTCAGGCTACGAGGCCGTGTTGGGTATAAGCATGTGCTGGATGTATGCTACTATCCAAATCCAACGCGTCATCGATTCCCCGGTATTCATTATCGGAATTCGGTCATCAGCTGGCTGGCGTAAGACCTTCACCTGATTACCACGATCGCAAATCTCAAAACCAGTCCAACAAACCAAGCCAAAGGACAACCTGTCATATTCGAAAAACCACCAGACATGGACGCACGAGCGATTCAACGGATGATCCAAGGCGCCGGAGGAGGCAACCAAACCGCAGGGTGGGTAGAGCGCTGTGACAATCCATTCCACAGGCGATGAGGCCCTGACCATAAACATTTTTGCTTTTACTTAGCGTCGACCAGCCCTTGAATGACACATCAGAACAGGTCCACATCTCGGCCCTTGCGTTATTGAAGATGCTGAAGCACGGTAGAGCCGGTGTACCTCTGGAAGTGATGGGATTGATGTTGGGAGAATTCGTCGACGATTGGACAGTCAGAGTTGTCGATGTATTTGCTATGCCCCAGAGCGGTACCGGTGTTAGTGTTGAAGCGGTCGACCCGGTCTTCCAAACAAAAATGATGGATATGCTGAATGCCACCGGACGGTAAGTGATCGGTCGATTTCTTGTGGATTTCAATTCTTTTTTCTTTCTTGTCGTCAGGGAAGACGTCACCAGGTATTACAACTTCAAAATTAACTTTTCGATCGTTTGTTCCTCTGGAATCCGATTTTTTAGGCCGGAGATGGTTGTGGGATGGTACCATTCTCACCCTGGATTTGGATGTTGGCTATCCAGCGTTGACACAAACACACAACAAGTTGAGAACTCGTCTTCAAATTATTATTTTATCTTATCTTCCTTTGAAACTTCACAATCAGTGTATGACTTGGAATTCAAAAAATCGACCGCTAAATATGATTTTGGATTCATTGATCTGTGCGTTTATTAGTCGTTCGAACAACTAACTCCTCGAGCTGTTGCAGTCGTTGTCGATCCAATCCAGTCTGTCAGAGGAAAAGTCGTAATCGATGCATTCCGTCAGTCGAGTCGTTTTCCAAGACTCTTTGTGACCGAGGCACAATGTTTTTTTAGGACGTTATGAGATATGGTACTGATTTTTTTAAAATCTCCATCTCTATCTTCCACGCAGGATTGATTACGCCCCAGACAATCATGATGGGCCAAGAGCCCCGACAGAGTACTTCAAACATAGGTCATTTGAACAAACCCTCGATCCAGGTCAGCAATCCATCAACTAGCGGTCCTTGAGCTGAGAAAGATTACTGAGACCTCTCAATTCAACAAAATGTGAGATCCCTTTAGGCACTGATTCATGGACTAAATAGACACTATTATTCGATCGCAATCAACTACCGAAAGACCGAATTAGAGCAGGCAATGTTACTAAACTTACACAAGAAGGATTGGACCGAAGGACTGCGACTACAAGACTTTGAAGTCCACAGAGCTAATAACGAAAAAACTGTCAAGGTTAGTGTCCTGATCGAATCACCTTGTTTAGAGAAACTGCTACTAATAAAGCTGAATTTTTATTTCTGCTCAAAAATCAATCCTTGTAGCGTATGTTGACATTGGCCTCGTCTTACAACAAATCTGTACAAGAGGAGTCGACGTTAACAGCCGCACAGTAAGGCTTGTTTCTAGCCTCTTCTAACTCCAGCTCCAAATATCTGAAATATTTGCATGATCAATTTTTTTTATAGATTGAAAACTCGGCACGTGGGTAAACAAGATCCAAAGAGGCACTTGGAGGAAGAAGTCGAAGCTGCGATGTCAGATCAAATCTCTCAAGCTCTTGGGACTATGATGATGGCCTTGTCAGCATGAGAGCTACCAACCCGATCTACTTACTACTCAAGCGACTGGCTTACTTGTCCCATCTCAGGGCCATAATGCACAAATAAAACATTATTAAGATTGTTTCCTTCCCCGCTTTTTTGTTTTCTATGTTTTAATCACTGAAGTTGTAAAACAAGATATTACACATAGGAAGATGCGTTGGAGGCATTGGAACCTCATTGCATGAAAGTTGCCAGAGGATCGTATCAGACATTTTGAGGATGCAGTAGGTCTAGATGGATACTTGTAGTTATGCTCTGATACCAACTTCTTTTCTTTTGAGGCTGTTTATGCACATTAAGAACCTGTTCATTTTCTTAGTCAGACCACTGTTTCAAAGGGTTCATTACAGGTAATCTTGTCCTGCTACTGACTCTTGTCTAGGTGAGCTCAACAATCTGGTCTTGTCAGGAAAGATTTGGTACCCATTCCCAATCCAAACTCAGCTCTGATCTAGATGAGTTTGGATAAAGTAAGAGTCAGGCATGAAATTTGGGGCTCGTCTCCAAGTGACAAGCAAGTAACAATCATTTAATTGCCATAATCAGCACAATCAAACCTTGGCATTTAGAAAAAGGAAGAAGAATGAACTGCTGTATAAAGCTTGTAATGGTATCACATCACAGAATGACACATGGGAAACAGTTTTTAGAAGTTTATGATGGGGGGATAGATGAACAGAGACTGAAGATTGAAAACTTGCAACAGACACCAGGCATACATGCTAGCAACAAACAACAAATTTAAAATTGGAGGAATATGCTGGGGTATTTGCAAAGCCTACAGATTTGGAGTTAGACTCTTGGCAGTCACTAGACTTTGTTATGGCAATCTGAACGAAGAGGCTTTAGATGTGGTACCTTCATTAAGTGCTGAGTTGAGGGAGGGACTTTCCACTGAGCTCTTCAGACCCTGCTGCAGGGGGAGCAGGTCCCGCCTTTTTCTTAAGAAATAGGTATATTTTCTCGACCCCATCTAGTAGGTGCACTTCCCCTACTAAAATAGGAACTTCACCGAGCCAATTTCCGGTGTCGACATCCTGGGCTATGTAATAGGCGCCTCTCTTGCCAGTGCTAGCGATGCTCACCCTTTTCTGATCCGAGTCGCTGTTCAGTTCCAACATCACCACACCGTCCCCCGCCCGGAAACTTTTCCTGGTGATCGATGGTCCCTCGAAACGTATCGGCTCAACCCAGTTCTCCTCCAAGGGGGCATCGTAATCGAAAATTGGACGCGATTGCCATTCTTCCCGAGTGATGGTCCTTGAAGTCGCAACCGTTGACGATATTAATGCGCCGAGGACCAGAGCCACGGTGGAAACGTTTATGTTCTTCATTTTCACACCAGTATGAATGAAATTTAGGCTATGGCCGGATAATGCAACAACAAAAGAAAGTGTCAGCTGGAGAAATATGTGCCCTCACTTATTGCCCTACAGCATTTGAGTTTGCACTGATATCAAGTATTCGAGGATGGTAGAAGCTCTGAAAACTCACGATTGAAATTGACAAACTACAAAGTACTGACTTGTGGGCAATGTATCCAATCCAGTTGATGGCAGTCTTAATGGGAACTGGTGACAAATACAAGAAGGCAAAGAAGGCTCAGAAGCAGAGTAAAAGTGGCACAAAGCATGGCATTTTCAAACCTACTTGGGATATGATAGTCAGACGGCAACAGAAAGATAGGCCCTCTCAAGAATGGGATCACAATTACTTTGACAAATCACTTGAAGGTGAAGAACGTAATTTCAATGAAGATCAGGCCCATGTCCGCTGCGGCTTAAATCATCTGGCGAATCCCCTACAATTCACATCTCTGGGGAACCCATGAAACACAACTGCTGAGTTGTAAGCCGTTTGACTGACGGTTAGCCTCACATTCATACTGACACCAACTAGAAAAAAAAGGCTCATTGACACTCGGGATGTCCCAGACTCAAGTGACGGATCGTAGGTCGGCTTACTGGGAAGCTCTGCATAGGCCCGCCTGTCTCACTTTGAGTCATTATACGCTGCGACCAACTTAAATACCGTATATAAACACGACGTCAATGACTTGTTGTGTCAAGATTGACCTGCTTGATAGCTCAAGGTCTTCAAATCCGAGCCGAAGTCCGGACGGCATGCAAAATAAGTAGTACCCAGACGTGTTTCTATCCTTGTTTAATAACTGTAGGAGCCAATTCAAGGTTTTCCACCTGTTCATTTGGGCTTCTCATTGGCAAGATGGACGTTGGTTGGTTAAGGATTCTGAAAAAATGACAAGAAATAATTGAAATAACTCAGAAGTCACTGGTTCTGCCCAAGCATCAAAATGATATCATCAGAGTGACATGGTGACCTCCTTGTATTTAGTAGGTTTGCAGTACATAGCTGTCTGGTACACATCCTATGAGTCCTGAATGATCTGGCATAGATTGTTGTACATATTGTTGTATAGAGTATAGATGTGTCTGTCTAACCAATGGCAGCAAGCAGTAAGTTCACTCAAGTCCAAAATTCAAGTTGAAGGGAGAAGCAAAAACATGTGAGAAAGCAAAACAAATTTTAACATTCAAGGATTGAATCAAGAAATTTGATGTGTGGCATTGCAACCTGTGACAGTGATCAGGTAGGCTCGTCGCAGAGCCTGTCACGAGATGCGTGACAGGATCCATGTCACCCGATCTATTACCGTGAAACTCCGGAGACCAAGCTTCTGGAAATTCACAGCAATCGATGAAAGCCTCAATCACCAAATCATAAGCAAAGAAGAGAAAGCCTTGAAGAACGAACGCGCAGGAAGACAGACAGGATGGCCTCGATGATCCAAGCGGTGATCGACTCGGTACTGCCCTCGAAGCCACAGCCGGTAGTCCCGAACGAAGGATTGATCCGGGCGATGGACCTCTCATTCCTCGGTCTCCTACTGACCCTGTTGGCCCTGTTGGTGATCACCCAGGGAAATCTACACGTCTTGGCTCTCATGCTGGTTGCTATTTGCTTGTGGACGAGTGTCCGATGGCAAGTCCCCTTTTCATATTCTCGCCTGTCCAACAAATGCTCTGCGTGGCCTGTTTTCATGTGTCGTTAACGGTGTTTGTTCTGGTTATCTTTCGGTCGTAGGTTTGTCGCTGAGCTTGCTCGGATGAATCACCTGAACAAACCAGTAGAACTTTCCGACTCTGATTCACTCTCCAAGAATGATGATCCTCAAGGTTCTTTAGGAACGACTACAAATATAAATAAATTGAAATCAAATTAAAATTCTTCTCACAACATTCAGCTAAAATTACTACAATCTAAACGAACACTTGGACAAAGGAACATAATATATGAAGCTTCCCAAGAGAGTACAATACATAATCATGAGACGAGGTGTCCGAAGGAGGGGAGTAAATGGAAAGAAAAAGGGCTTATAAGCAGATAATTCGACCCTTCTCCCAATCAGTGAATTTTTTAGTCATCAGTTGACCCGTCCACAGGATCTCCTTCTCCCATGAATCCGAGCCCACAGAGAGCTCATCATGATTATTATGACTGCTGGTTGTATTAGTGCTCGTTGATCTATCTTCCCCTGAACTGAGCGGCGGGCGTGAGGCTAGGTCCATTATGTCTGGCAATCGGTCGAACAATGTCTTGTGTAATACTATCTTTAGTTTGTGATCTTCAATCCTGTTTTCCAAATAAGGAATCATGAACAACTTTTTTTCTTTGAAAGAAAGAAAGCAAAAGTGAAGAAAATAACAGAGCAAATACATACATGTCTAACAAGGCCATGCCGGATTCATACCACCCACCGCCAGAGTTAGCGGCCAGGTTTTTCAAGTTGACGTTCTTGGTCGAAGCAGACAGGGCGTTCCGAATTTGGAGGTTGAACGCTTTAGGGATTTGGATCGTTAGATAATTCTGACTTTCGTCCTCGGGGTTGTCCTGTTGACTAAGGATGCTTGCCAGCCAGAACGGGATCTCTATGGGCGTATAGGGTTGTATCTTGATCCCCCCCCCCCCCCCCAGAAAGAAAAGTAACAAACCAATGAGTAAGTTGAATGAAATAAGTTCTTGCAGTGATGTCTGACTCACATCGCGTTCATTGGTCCCTTCGAGATATCCCATCCCGGGCACAGCGATGTTGAAGATGCATGGGATCTTCTGGTTTTCGGCCAGGAGTTGGTCTAGTGAGTAGTAGGCATCATCCATCTTCTCTTGACCAAAGAATCCTTTTCGAATGTTTGTTGGTTCGGAGTGGTCTGAACACGCCTGTCACGCGCCCCGGGGTTGGGAGGTGCTGCTGGGCTGGCTCTGCGACGTCGTGCTGGTCCGTGTCCGCCTTGAGCTGCGGTCCGCTCTGTTTTGCATATTCATTTTGCATCTTTTTTTTGGCTGACACCCTTTTGTGGCAAACCCAAACTGCTGTGTCCACCCAAAAACAAGAAAACGATTGCCAAGCTTGAACACCGAGACTATTGGACCACTCATCGAATATCGACCTACTACAATCAACCAAATTTCAGCTGTACGTAGGCTCTAAGGATGGGCCGAACAGCACCAGCTCACATCAAGACCGTCAAACCGGGCCTCAAGAAAAAGAAAGGAACCGTTTGAGTCAACATTTGTTCTTCTTTTTTGTCTTGCTCTCTTGATGCTAGTGGTACTGACCTCTGCTTTCTGTGCATAATTCTCTTCGGAAAGACCGGGGCGGCTAGAAATTATGTGACTAGAAACCAGGCTCTGAAGAAACTTCAATGTACACTATCAGATTTCAGAAGACTTTGTATTTTGAAAGGTTAGCATAACAGGTTTATAACGTGCAAGAAAAAACTAGAGCCCCGATTATTGTTTAGAATATTCATACTGATTCAAGAAGCAAAAAAACGATTGTAATAGGAATTTATCCCAGAGAACCCAGAAGTAGAAAGAAGGCCAACCGAGGCTCAACAGCTGCTGCCTCATTCTACTATCAAAAGGATATAGCCTACCTCTTACATGAACCAGTACTTCAAAAATTGAGGGAGCACAAGGCTTTCGCGAAGAAACTTTCTCGAGCTCTCGGTCGCAAGGAGGATGGATTAGCCAAGAACTTGGATTCGGCTCACGACGGCTACCGGATCGATCACATTATCAAAGAAAGGCATGTTCATTTGATTCCGTAAAGCGTTGTTGCAGTCATCCAGAGATCCGTGCTGACCTCAAGTCTGATCTGTTAGATATCCGGTTTTCACTGATGCGATTCGAGACTTGGATGACGCCCTTTCACTCATCATCCTCTTCGCAAACCTCCCCTCAACAAACCACGTCTCCCCCAAAGTGATCGCCAATTGTGCCCGACTAGCTGCCGAATGGCAAATCTATGTCATGAAGTCTAGGTCTTTGAAGCACGTCTTCTTGAGCATCAAGGGTATCTATTATCAAGCTGAAATCGAGGGACAACGAGTTACCTGGCTAGTCCCCTACGCATTCACTCAAACGGTACTTCATTCTCCATCATTTGAACCCCACGCCCATCCGCAGAATTTGATTGAGACTTTTCCTTGATTTTTTTTTCCTAAAACAAATTCACAGATTCCAGCCGATGTTGATTTTCGAATCATGCTCACATTTCTCGAGCTTTATCAAACTTTACTAGGATTTGTCTTCTATAGACTCTTCCAAAACATTAATTTGATCTATCCTCCCAAACTAGACTCCAACTTGGACGAAGCTGCCGCCGGTCTCAACGCGCTGATTCTAGAAAGTAGTAACCAAACCTTGGTTGCAGACCAAACCGATTCGGAGGCACAAGCCAGTGGACGTCAGACCGCAAAGAGCGTCCGGAACGAGATCAAGTCTCTTATTTCAGCCCAGACGACTGCCCCGGATGAAGCTGAGGAGAATGAACAGAACGAGCAGATGGAGGTTGACCCGGTGGTCGAGAGCAACGATGAAGTCGAACAAGGCTTGTTCACGCCATACGCGTTCTTTTTGTCGCGAGAGGTCACTCGACCGATGCTTGAGTTTGTGATCAAGTGCAGTGGTGGTGAAGTCGGCTGGGACCCCATTCTTGGTGCTGGATCTCCATACCTCGAGTCGGATCCGCGGATCACCCATCACGTCATCGACCGACCCGAGCTTCCCTCTTCGACTGCCGCACTACCGCAGCGCGCCTTCGTCCAACCACAATGGGTAGTGGATTGTATCAACAAGTCGACGCTGTTGCCGACCGAGGAATACGGGCCGGGCAAGATCCTTCCGCCCCATCTGTCGCCGTTCGTGGACGAGGAAGAAGTCCGACGACAAGGCGGGTATCTCCCTCAAGCCTCTCAACCTGCTGCGGCCCAAGGGACAGCCCAGGCCGCTGAGGTGGACGAGGAGGAGGACGCCAGTGGGGATGAAGAGCAAGCCGACGAGACGCCGGTGGCTGGCAAGGGAGAAGCCGAGGCCGCAGAGAGACCTGCGCTTCTGGCAGCAGCCACGAATGCCGAGGACGAGGATCTCCTCCATGCGGCCGAAATCGAGGCCGAGGAACTCGGGATCTCGCACGATCAGTTCCAGAAAGATCTCAGACGAGCTACCAAAGAAGAGGCCCGGAAAGCCAGGAAATCAAAGACCGATCCTTCTAAGAAGAACAACAAGAAGGCCGACGATCCGATGGACGAAGATAATTCTAAGATGGCGGAAATGCTGCTCTCGTCTAAACAACGCAAACTTTATTCGAAGATGAGCTACACTAAACATCAACGCGCTGAAGAGGTTCGTTCTTTCCTCTTTCTTTGAAACTCACGGAGGAATTTGTTTACTGATTCTTTGCCTGTTTGGTCGGGTTATAGAAACGTAAATTGGAATCAAAGAAGAAGAATTTGATGAAGAAACAGAAATAGAAAAAAATCGATCTTGTTTCCTTTCCTCTGTTGAATCCTCATAATCATACATCAATGACTTTCTTCACATACATATATATACAAATCTTACCAATCTTTTGGCCGGCATCTCTCATCTTATTTGATTCCCATACACCCAATAAAACACGGCCCAGATCTCGTTTAAGTTCTGGATGGTCAAATCCATTCTGGTCTTGTTTCTCAATCACATCCCCCATATCATGGTGTCGGATTCATGCATCACAAAAAAAAAACATGGTGGATTGTGCCTTACCCAAATATGTATTCTGTTTTACATACTTCGATGTGACTCTTCTGGCGCAGATCACTTGGTCATTACTGAGCATCACATAGAAACAGACTTGCACAAAAGCTTGCCAAGTTTGTGGAACATCAATAAACTTGTCCAAAGCTTTTGGCTTCTTGTATGGCTGGTCTTATTATCACCATGTCGAGAAACTAAGCTCCTTCTTCCTGTGTCAACTCTCAGCAACTTGTCAACATGTGCACTCTCGTCTGACATACCTCGTGCTCTCATCTTCAATGTGGGCCTTGAAGTCTTATGCTGCCGCGCAGGCGCATTGAGGGGACTTGTCTCCGGTTCTTACACAATGCGGGCTTCCGGTTCTGTGTTGCTACAACCGAATATTATTTTCGGAACTCACACTCACTTTCACCTCAGCGCTGGAGTTGTTACCCTTGGTAATTTATACTCATGAGTGATCTGGATTGAGACCCAAATTATAACTCCAGGAACCAGCACCAATAGGGGGTTGAAATTGAATGATAAGAGCTTGTCCGTTTCATTCATCTCATCATTCAGAGAAACCAAATTCAGCTTATCGTAGAGCACTAGTACTCAAGGAGGATCTGGATCTGACTTAACACAAGCCCCTCGATCGGAGGGCCTGGTACAGGCTGGCGCGAAGCGCCCCTCGCGAACCCGGACCTGCCAGCCCAGAGGCAACCCCTCCATCCTATGTAATGCTCAATTTTTTTATGGCACATTGAAGCTAAGATCCTCACCTGTCTCCTCATCTCAAGGGCATGTTTTCATGAGGTGTGAGTGAAGAGGGATCTGCATTTGATTGATTATTTGCTCTAAAAGCCACAAAAATATCAAAACTCCCAAGCGGAGAAGCCGCAATAACTCATAAGCCTCCCATTGGGAATGGGAGATGCTCCGCATCGGGGTGCTCTGCACCCCCGTTCCGGGAGGCTTAGTTAAGTCAGGATCTGGATTGGGATCCAAATGATACCTCCAGGAACCAGCACCAATATGGGGTGAATGATAAGAGCTTGTCCGTTTCATTCAACTCAACATCCAGAAAAACAAAATTCAAAATATCATAGAATAGATAGCAATACACATAAGATAGCATGCTCTACTTTAGACTAGCTAACCAAGTGATAGTGTTGAGATTCTTGCGAAGTGAGGCCAATCGACCGAAGGTTTCTCAGTTGCTCCCGTTGGTGCTAGATAATCAAGGGTGGTTGTGAGTATCAAAGTAGACAGAGATCTGAAGCGATGATATCCAACTCACAAGTCCCAGCCTTGAATGGCGATTGACTCCTGTCCGGGTCGGGCACCAAGAGCTTTCAAGGTCTGCGTAAAAAGGTAGTAAAAAGGCATCGATGAGCTTCAAGTGGATCACTTCCTCCACCGGATCAGGCCTCCGGAATCTCCCCGTTCACTCACAGCTTTGGTCACCCAGATCATCCTGCATGCCACATCTTCAGTAATAGTCTCGCCTTCCCCAGCAAACCTGCAACCGTCGATCACTGGAGCGTGTACGATTTGGCCGTTGGACTTCGTTAAAGAACTACGTATACCACATCAGATATTTCCATGTTAATTTCGGAAAAACTAAGCAATCTTCTCATGAATCATCAGGGTCAACTTACATGTCTCTAGCGCAATTTTCGGTGTGATCACTACGAAGAAGAAATTGTAGGTGTCAGGATTGGGTGTGGATTTAAGGTCAAGGATTGTCCGGAGAAAGCTAGAAATAAGTTACCCTCTGACCCAACCAGCGTAAACACCTTTTCTCTTCAATTCGCCTTGGGCTTCTCCAGTCCAGAGACACAGACCTTGGACGTCTTCGGAAACATAACCTTTGGCGAAGGCGGGGCAGACCTGCAGAGAAAAAAAGGATGGATGATTCGGAGCTCAGTTTTGGTTCGATTCGTCGGGTGGATGTGTATATGTGTATGTTATATATATATGTATGAAGGACTCACTGCTTCGTCGTCACTGCTGATACTACCAGCCTAGAATGGAAAAGAAAAATCCCGCACGAGAAGATTCGACTCGAGTCAGTTTCCAGAGAATTTCGATCACAAGCAAAGAGGTCATGTTTACCTGACCCTTGGGAGGTCCAATGAGTGGCTTTGTGCGAGGCTTCGAGCCGGATTTCTTGTTTTTAGTGGTCATCTATATAAATGCACAAACATCGCACATGTAAGTTGAGCTGAGAGTGTCCAATGTTTATGGATGATAGCGCGGAGGTTAACATATTATAGCTGGACTGACTAGTTTAGCAATGACTACTTTGGATCCCTTCTTGTTGCCTTGCTCGGCTTTCCATTGGGAACATTGGGAGTTCATGCCGGCGACAGCATTGATCACCAGGAAGACTAAGGTCAAGGAAGTGAGGAGCTTGGCGGAAAACATGCTTTGATGATGGAGAGTTGGGATAGTAAAGTTGTTGTGTGGAGTGAAGTGAGTTTGGTGGGATGAAGGTCAAGAATGCAAGATCACCCTGACTTTATATGGGTGTCTGTTCTTGCCTGCGCTTCAATCGATCTCTCTGAGCCTCGTGATTTCCGGCACTCGGGGCCATACATGATCCTTTTGGACCTCATACTTAAGAAGTGGCTTCAGCCCCAGTGGCACCATGAATAGTTGAGTGCTCATGTGATAAATCATACAATGGCGGCGTGGGCCGACGCCGCAATGGTCGGAGGAACTGACTCTGACTGCAGCTTGCCGGGCGGGCTCTGCACCGCCGGGGTCGTCCGCCAAAGCGCCTCCAGAGTGCCATGTAACCTCTGGCAACCGTCAGCCTCTCGCCGCGCTTGCCGAGCTGGAAGAGCTCCTGTTCGGGCGGTTCCCAGAAGTCGGTCCGACCCAGCCGCCAAAGTCCGAGCAGTATTTCCTGGCAGTGCTAGAATGTTTAAATGCGTGTTATATTTGTACAGGAAAACGCCTGCCCTTTAACCCTTTAACCCCACATACATAGACGCGTCCAATCAGTACTACAATTCATGCGAATCCCGCCGGATCCCGCCTCTGATTAAGAGCTCTAGCTAAGTCAAGATATGTAAACGTTCAGGCTATGTAGACCTTTCTTTCTTGTTCGCAAGGGACTTGCGGAGAAACGCATGGATCATAATTCCACCCATCAAGTAGTGTCGCGTGATGCTGATTGCCACCGAAGCCGAACGCGTTGCAAGGGCAGCTCACACCACGAACCCACACCAACTACACGGCGGTTGCACGATTTAAGGTTTCGCTCGGCAAATTGCCGCGCAAGTCAAACAATCGCCAATCCGACCTGCAGGCCGTCAAATTGACGGCCAAATGACAGGCCGTCCACCGGCTCTCGAGTTCAGGCAAGTTAACATAACTTGCCTGGGTCGATCGGCCGGAAAATTACCCTGACCATCCATCCGCCGCCGGGACCAATGGTAATTTGCCGTCAACCAGTTTTGACGGCCAGCACTCCACAAATTTGACGGGTTGCACTCGGGCAACAAGGACGGCCCCTCCAGGTCAAAATCTGTTAAGTCCCTCTTTTCTTTCCTCTGCATCATCTCACCTGAGCGCATTGCTCATCCCCCTCCTTCCTGGTCCTCAACGACTCTGCCTGCGGTTTTCCCTCCGACTCCAGTGTCGATCAATCAAACGATTCGAAGACCTCACCATCACGTCTACGACCACTCCGTCACATCTGCTGATTCGCAGTCCTCACCATCAGGTCCGTCTACGATCACTCCGTCACATCTGCTTGACCGAACTCGACATCAGGCACTTCTACAACCATTTTGTCACAGAATCTATCTGATCAATTCAGTCATTCATTTCAGGAAACAGGTCTCGGTCTCGGCCTCCTCAAAGATAAGGCCTCCCCCGATTGATCAGTTGGAACACTCGGCCTCCTTCCTCCTTTCTCCTCAAAGATAAGGCCACCCCTCTAGTCACTTTCCTCCGTGTGATGGTCAAGCACGAGCGCACTCACCTGCGCAATTTGGTAAGTCACACTCACTCCTGTCAATCGAAGTACACTGGGCAGGCGATCGATTGATTAGCGGTGCAGCTTTTGACCCACGTCCGCCAGGACGCTCGACCCCGCGAGCTAGGGCCCATCCCCAAGATATTTGACCTTATAATCCTAATTGATCGATCCTTCCAGCCTCGGAACACCCTTCGATCCGCTGCCGAAATCCGAGGCAGTCTTACATCGGACCAGATGGTCCAATTTGCAATGATAAGGTTGCTAACCATTCACCACCACCTTCACCGAGCTCCTGGGGACACCAGGTCGCAATGGGACGTAATCGACGACCAATTTGAGGCCATCCGGGAGAAGTCGAACGTCCAATTGCATGCGTAAGTTCATCTCATTTCTTTAACCAATAGTTGACACAAGCAATGTTCAACAGACTCTCCATCCTCATATTACGATGCGATCGAGCGTTGTTTCCTGGGGATTTCATGTTTGCAGACATACCCGAAGAAATCATTCGAATGCCTAGTGTGTTGGACTGCGAAATCAAAACCCGAGCCATTGTGGCAGAACTCGGGGAGGAACCAACAGACGAGGCCCTGGCCAGACTTGTTGACTCAGAAGCCGGCCTGGTATAGTAGAAATCTCCTCCATCTTCCAATCAGTGGGATTGGCTATCCCCAAGGAACATCTGTCTTCACAAACAAATGTTTACAGTAGCATCAAAAACACTTGAACGCAATCGAGCCACAACGGTCAGTAATACCCATGTTCAACTTTTTTTTCCTGTTCCGGTTTGGGCACTCGGACTGATTGGTGCTACAACCCTTTATCCGACCCAAGGCGTTTGAAGTCTGAACTAACGAGCCGAACAACCTCGGCTCAAACGTCCTCTCTGCTTGGTTATCTGTTCTCATATTATTGCCGTCTGCTTTCAGAGCAAGCGATCGGAAGTTTTAAGCACGGAGTTGGGACCCTGACTCGCTCTTCATCACTCGCTGACCCGTTCATTCTTACTGGATATACCCCTCATGGTGGTCTTCAGGACGCGGAAATCCAGCATCAGTCTAAACGACTCCCACGATTCTTCTGGTAGTGTCCCTCCAGTCTAAGCTTCAGTGAAGGTAAAATCCCCATACCCTCATCCATCAGTTCCCAGTTGCAGAGTTCTCAGTCCGGTCCAGGCGCAGGGTCTCAAGCAGTATTCCTTCAGCTCAGACGTTAAGCCAACCAGCGCCTATCCTCATCTTCGGCCGTCCTCCAACTGTTCGAACGAATCTCATCAAAGTCAAACTGCACAACCACATCCCCACTGCTACCCCAAGTTGTTTGCTCCCAAGTACAGTGACAGCCACCAATTTCCAGACTCTCTCCAGCGAGCCAACTCCATACAATCTTCCCCTTATCAACCTCAACAACAACAACAGCTTGCCACTCGCCCCCGTCTCGCATCATACATGGGCGCTCAAGATCAGTCATTCCCTTCTGCCGCTCCGGCCCAATCGTCCTTCCGCCTTTTCAAATCCAAAATATTATCATCCACATCCAAGCTCAAGCAATCCGCCCAATTCGGGCTTGGCCCCACAAGCTCAACTGGGGCTCCCTATTCATCACCATCCCTAGCAGCATCATCAGATTTCCTGAACAATCCAAGCCAGGCTGCCTATCACAAACAAAGTGCTTCTGCCGGTCAGCAAAAGCTCAATACCGTTAGCCATGTTAACCGACCCAATTTCAACAATCCGTCTCAGCAGGAACCAGCAGATTGGGTCCACTTAGACCCTTCAGCTCTAACCCTAACTCCTCGTCCATCAACTGACTCTGCTAGACCCACCTCAATACACGCTGGTTACTCCTCATCTCCAGCTCCAACGGCAATCCAAGCTGTTCACTCCACATCTCCAGCTAATAGGATAGTGATCAATTCGAATTCCAGTCGGCGGAATTATGGTATAGTAGAAATCTCCTCGCTCATTTATTCTCTTCGATGTCCGTTATGTCATTTCATTGCGAATCTCAATCTCGATTATTTAAATCTCTGGCTTGATAATTTCTCTATTCCTCTATCTTCATGCTCTATCTACTATCTTTATCTAGTCTACACATGTACATAGAAAACAACCCCCCCCCCCCCAAAAAAAAAAAAAAAAACATAAAATGCAATAAAAAACAAAAAAATGGCCTGGTGCCCTGGGAAACCCGAACGAGAGTGACCTGTGAGCTTGCCCAAGGCAGATAACCAGAAAGGAGTGGAAATCGAGGGAGGTGTGGCCGTCGAGGTAGGTCGATCGACCGATTTTTCCAGCTCCAGTTGGATGACGGATCGGTCGGCAACTTGCCGACAAAAAGCGGTCAAAACGCGGGTAAATGAACCTGCCCGCTTTCGATGGCGGGCTCGTGTTTGAACGTCAATCTGCCGACAAGGGCGGTGGGACCGAAGTTCTGCCAGCGGATTGTCTGAGCGGGCGTTGGCGGGGACGCTGTCAATTCGGCCGTCAATTTGCCGGCTGACCGGAGGCCCGTTTTTTGCCGGTCAAAGCTGGCTGGGCGGGGTCCGTCAAATTGACGGCCGAATTTTCAGCGATTTGCCAGCGGCCCGCAACCGCCGTGTAAACTAAGTCCCTCTAATTGGAGGGGGGGAAATTGTCCCGCAGCCCCCCCCCCCCCCCCCCAAGGAAGGACTTATTCGCTAGGTCAACTTTGTGGCCTGAGAGAATTAGGAAATCCACCTCTTTCAATCCTTTGTAGAAGGACCATTGCTCAGCTGATCATTATGTTTAAAAGATGCAAAAGACAATCAAGAATCATCCCATGTTTTTCCTATTTTTCTTTTTAGTTAATTTTCATCTTGGTGGGTGTGAGATAAAGATTAAGCCAATGTCTTCCAGTAGGCTTAATGGAAATCTGAGTTCGTGTTCTAAATCAAGACAGCTAGTCTATCCTACCAGTTGGGCTTGGCCAATGATGCCTTTCATCATCATCACAAAAGTCAAGAGGGGACTTGCATAATGTGAGATATCTAGTACAGAAATCAAATCCAAAAAATTAAACTAAAAACGTAAAAACAAATCCGTCAAATAGGAGTCTTGGGAGAATCTGGTTCAGGATTTTTGCAAAGACATGATTTAGGCCTTGTTTGCACCAATAATGTGGATTCTTGTGGCATCTGATAGATTTTTGGAAGACCAGATCAGGTGTCACGTAGGATGTCAGGCAAAAATAGTCATCTGTTGCTCACATCATATTGCTGCCAAATGGGGCCTTAGTTCCTAAGGCTATGCATGATGTTGGATTTTTTGGATTTGAAGGCAAAAGTGGAAAGTAGATGCTTTGAAAAGAGCAAATAAATACAGTCAACCCCTTGCAACCGCATACCTCTTGGTGGATGGAATTTGGTATGTGTTTTTGGCAGGTTATGGGGTTACTGTTGAGGGACACCAGGGAATGAAAAACACTGACTGATGTCGAGACTCATGAGAGATGTTTAACAGTGAGAATTATATTATGATTCTTTAAGGAGAGAGGGTTGAGTGGGGTCCAGTAAATCAGTAGTAATGGACAGCTTGATATAAGCAACGCTGCCACAGATACAATACGCTGTGTGTATCATGGAGAATTCTGCAAAGCTGCATGGCCAAAAACCAAATTTGTTGAATCTCCTTGCAAATAAAAGCAGATTGGTCAGATAGTTTTTTTTATTGGGGCTCAGATACATAGTGATACATGGCAGATACGGGCAGATACCGTATCTGTGGCAGCGTTGATATAAGCATACCTAAGTACAAGCATACAAGTACTACATACGGGATTGAACCAATCCAACAGTTACAAGGGTCAGCTACAGGAAAAAATGAACATTGTTGATTTTTTTCTTCCCATTCCCAATCAGCCCAACCATGCATAGTTGTGTGCAAAAGTGGTACCCACCTCTTGGCCAAATCAATCTCTCAGTTAACCTCAAGATTTTCAAGCCATGCTCTGTTTACCTTTTCTTTAGTCAATGAATTCAATCAATTACTGAAGAAAATGAAAACAGTAAGTCATCTGGTTCGACTCATTTTTGTGTTTGGCATCAGTGGTGGAAAACTACTGGTTCATTTTACTATCTTTTTTTTCTCTTTGTTTTATTCTTTTTCAATTCCCATGTGCTTTGCCTTGTCCCATCAATGTTATGTCAATCAAACACTCCAACTCATGTTGAATCTATCAGATTGTCTTAACCTCAATTCTCCATCTTGATTGCCAGGAAGATCTGACCCATGATACATTTCATTTATCAGATACTTGCAAAGATCTCCCTACAAAAATTATAAAGTTTTGGTTGACCCAAATGATTAGATGGAATGGGGGTTATGCCCTTATACAGGTATGCAGTTAGATTGGTTTGACTTTATTAAGAATTGAGAGGGTTTGTCCAGAATATATGCATTTAGATTGGTTTGACTTTATTAAGAATTGAGAGGGTTTGTCCAGAATAGCATTACAGTAAAGAGAAGATGCTTGGAGATGAGATACTTGATTTATACAATGATATCGGAGTTTACAGGGTATTATTTAAGCTCTAGATTTACCCCCATCATAAAAACAAATGTTCACCTGCACAATTTTGTACCTATATGCTGCAGATCCCACCTTGTATGTGTATTAAATAACACTAGCTCCCCAGCCTGGGGGACCAATCTAATAAGCTTGCCTGAGCTTCAAGTGTAAACTTGTACCATCATGATAATATGGGGTTTCAAATTTGACATTTGATCAACATTCTAATTTCTACCCACAATCATGAATTTCACAAAATTTGCAAGATATTTTCCAACAAGAGAGCTATGAAACTGATGTCTTGATCATATTGAGCTTCTAGTTTCATGTAAAATGCTGTATTAAAATCAGCTTTAAATCCCACTAGTGAGTGACAAAGAACTGGGGAATCACAAGAGAAATCAGCTGTTGAATTTCATGATGCTGTATTTATACCATTCAGAATGTCTCCTGAATACAAAAACAGTATATAGTCAATATGGAAAAGTCAAAATGCTAATGGCTCTCCTTGGTACTCTGAATGTTACATTACAGTGCACCAGGAAAGTTTTGAGGGCAATAGGTGGTATGCAAAATTGGTGAAATATATGAGAACACAAGTAGAATCCTATTAAAATACCCTGTAATAACAAAAACCCATATGTGATCACCAGAGATTTCTGTCACTGTGCACTGATCACTGGGCACTGAGTGCATATTTGGGCTGGGTTTAGCAATTAGCTGCATACTGATGGAAAAATTAAAAAATCTATCTTAATAGGGCTTGTAGAATACATGTCTGTTTCAGCAATTCAAACCTGCTATGAGGCTTTATCATGCATCTGTTTATACACCCAGGTTTTGGTTTACACCACCATCTGATCAATATTTGTATTCTACATGCTATTGATTTGTGGTGATAATCAGAAATCCATCACTATTAGTTTTAGAGCAAAATTTCAGCTTCCTGGGTCTGACAAATTTTACCAAGAAATTTTTACCAAGGTGTTGAAACTCAATGTGTTATACCTCATGTGACACTTGTGACACTCAAATCTATGTTGAATTCAATTTCTCCTTTGAAATCTTAACCTAATCTAATGACACTCATTCATCAACA